CCAGCACTTGAGAAACAGATTTAATCATAAACAGGAAAGAACATAATTTGTCTTTACTATGAGATAGCTTTTAAGTCTAAGATGGAGGCAGAATGGTTGATCAATTGCATTCAGGGTCATTTCAGAAACAGACCAACTCACATTTTTATAAGACCCTAAGGTCCCTCGGACGTTAGACAGTTGTTCGCCTGTCTCTCCTCCTCACCTCCCCGTCCATGGCCCTCAGTGCACTACCCCCTTGCTCTTCCCTTCACTGCAGCAGTGGGGTCTGCCTCCTGCCTGATTGCATTATGTAATGTCAGGGTTTCTCAGTGCACCAGCATTTTTGCCCTTTACCCTCCCTTGACTATGGCAGTTCAAGTGGAGGTACCTGCAGCTGGAAAGCCATGTCTCAGCCTCAGCAATATGCTAAAAGCAGAAGGGAGAGAGTGACCCTTCAGCTGGGCACCATTCTACCCAGGAGACTAGGCCTGAACACTGGAGACAGATGTGAGCAATCTTCCCCTCATACACCCTTACCCTAATTCCAGCCTCATCACCTCTACAGCTCCCAGGTTTTCCAGGGCAGGAAGGGAGCTTGGATCACTTCAATGGCATAGGAGACTGAGGCTCAAAAGAGTGGAGTCTCATCCAAGGATGCCCACTTGAAGGCTCAATCAAGATGGGGGTCTCTCTTGTCCTGTCTGTCCTTCAGAAAGCCCAAGCCCCCTGCAAAATACAAGTGGGCAGATACCAAGGAATCAGGCACCCGAGTCATTAATGCCTCCTACAGACTGGCCAGTGACTCCCCTCCTGCGTATTCCTCCAGGGAAAGTTCAGATATGTAGCTACTTGGGGAGCAAAAAGAGAGCACAGTTGAGACTGCGCTGTCTCCTACCACACTGGGAAGACTGACTGTTCCCAAAGGTTTGTTTCAGCTTCCCCTTGGCGCAGGAGACAATTTAGTATAAATACTACCCAAGACTACCCAAAGTCCTGAGGCTGAAAAAACTGACCGGGATAGAATGTCCGGGTCTTCATGGCATCTGGACATCCCATTTATCCCTGTCCTCTATGTAGAACGTCCTTAGTTATCCAAGGGCAGTCTGAGCATCCACCAGGCTTCCTGAAGAGTCTACGCTTTCACCACGGTTTTCTCTTACTCCAGTAATTATATTCACTGCAAAACTGAGCCTCACAGAAGGCTGGCTGCAGACACAGTTGGCTCTTCCCAGCAGCCCTGCAGCAGCAGCTGTTCAAATTCACAGCGAGGAGCCTGCTGCAGGCTTTAGTAGCTAAGCAGTGCCTAAAGGCAATCATGGGAAGGCTGCCTGTCATCCAGACTAGGAAACAAAGGGCCTACAGGCTTCTTTGTTATCACACATGCCCGCCTCAGGAGGCCATCAGACACCTGCGGTCACTTTATGTCACTTGTCTTTCTTCTACCATTTCATATGTTATGCATGGAAGGCTAGTCTAATCTAATCCGTTTATTTATTACTGTTGTTGTTGTTTGAAAGATAAGGTCTTACAACATAACCCTGGCTGTCCTGGAACTTACCAGGTAGCCTAGGCTGACCTCGGGCTCTTAGAAGCCGTCCTCAGCCTCCCGAGCATGCTACTGCTCCTAGCTATAACTAAGCTTATTGAAAAGCCTGTTTTGTGATTTTGTTATTTTGGTAGCATTTGTGTCTGATAGCGTTGGGATCGTGACATATTGATCCCATCGTCACCCCAGGTATCAGCTGGAGTTTCACCATGATGGAGCATTAGCTTTGTGGGGCAACGGTTTAGCTTAAAGGGCTTGTGCCAAAGCGGTTCTCCTTTGTCCAGAATATGTAGGTGGCCACACAGTTCCAACTTGGGACAAATCTTGGAGGTTTGTCTTTGGAAGAAAGAAGCATCTTAATTAGGTTTCGCCGACCCCAGTTGGGGTGGGGGGAGGTGACAGGATGAGAAAATGGGGATAGCTGATGGACAGAGACCAGGTGTGGAGGGCCCCGGGCGGTTTAAGATGAGGCCAGCTGGGGTGGTCATGTCATATGGGTTAGGCAGACAGTCCCATAAACTTTTCTGTGCCTGGCTCTGGTCAGAGGAAAGCCAGGCAATGCTAGTGAAGGGTGCTCTGTTTAGTGATGAATAGACTCATCCTAGCTCCTAAGTAGGAAAGTAGTTCCAGATGTGTCTGTTGTGCTGTTTTTCTAGATTTATATTTTTGACATTACTTTTTTTTTTAATTGCACAGAATTAGAGGTTAAAGTTCAGAATAACAGCATTTATTGCTGGACTCACGGTTGACAGTATACAGATAGCATGCATGCTTGGGTCAGACCCTAGGAAATGGAAGATTCACTTTTTCATACCTTTCTTCTCCATCCATTTTAAGTATCCGAGCCCCCAGACCTCCATTTCCCAATGAAAGGGCTGTTTCAGAAAAGGTTTCCCAGTTTAAATCAAGACTACTGCTAGACTAGACTTGAATGCTGACATCACCTGTCAAGGCACCCTTACATTTCAGAGACCATGATGTGGAGTCCCCTCTGTGCGCTGTGATTACCATTAATGAATAAAGAAACTGCTTTGGACCTATAGCAGGGCAGAACTTAGGTAGGTGGGGAAGATGAAACTGAATGCTGGGAGAAAGAGGGCAGAGTCAGAGGGAATGCTGGGAGAAAGA